TATATATATTTATTTATTTATTTTTTCAGTTTTACTTATTTTATCACATCAAGTTACACTAAATGAAAGTGAATGCTGCCTTGGTTAACTAGCTATAATAAAATAAGCTTTTATTTATATATAAAAGTATTTTTAACATTTATTTATTTTATTTCAAATAACCTTGCATGGTTTGTGACTGTTATCCAAATAAAATTGGAACCCCCTGACTTTCAAAAAAAAAAAAACTGAATGTTTTTGATTGTCTTTTCTTTTTTGTTCAGCAGAAGACGGTCATACAGGACTGGAACAACATGAAGGTGAGTAATTGATGAAAAAAAATTCAATATTTAGGTGAGTTATCTCTTTAATAATATCTCCTTAAAACTCCCACCTTGGTTCCACCTCTCTTTTTTGTTCGCACTACTATTGATCAATACTACTGGTCCACTCGTCTTTTCTGCCTAGGGGAGCAGCTGGACAGACAGAGGGGCAATTAAAGGGCAATTAGTGCCTCCTCTGTTCAATCTCCACCTCAGCAGGGGATGAATGGGTGCGGTCAAGGGCACGTGCGGGTGGGTGCGAGTGAAGATAATCGGATTTAAAGAAAGAAAGAGAGCACACGTGATGAACGGCGAGAGAAGCAGATGGACAGGAGACGTTCTGACTGTGAGCAGCAGACACATCGACAGACACTCACACTGAGAGGAGACTGTCCACACACACATTCAGTATTTATGAAGCGCATCAGGTCACCACACTGCATTCTGAAAACTCAAGGCAGTTTTCAGACGGATGGATCATTTTAGTACCGGCAATTTCTGGCAAGAGAGTTACAGAGAGAACTGGGCCAGTCAACTTCAGAAAGATGGAGAGCTGCCACAGTCAAAGGCTGCTGACGTGCAGTCCGCCTGAAGTTCTGCCCCAAAGTGTTAACTGAATACTATCCCTCACACACACACACACACACACAGTTGAAGAACAGACGCTACTCTGAAAAGAGCCAGCTGCCTTTCCACTTCAACTTTCAATGTCTTTTCTATTTTTTTCCCCTCTTCTTCTATTTTTTTGTCTTATATCTAAAAAAACTAAAATCACCATGTCTCTTGTTATACAACACTCCCTGTCTTCGTTTGCATGTTCCAGACAAAACTGTCAGTCTGTATATTAGTGGTGGTTATTCTTCAGTGACACTTTCCACAGGTTACATCATTACATACATCATAAGTGTCGACAAGTGAACCTCATTTTGAGTGAGTCGCTGAATCATTCATTCAAAGGACTCTTTCAAAACCACTGATTCATTCAGGAACAAAAGAAGTGACTGTCTTTCTGAGCGAATCAGTGAATAATTCAGTCAACTGATTCTTTATTATTTAAATTCAGCATGAAATAAAAATGTACAGTTCTTATTTGTTTAATGAAATGTTGCAATGTTTATTATAAATGATTTATCCATGAACATCTTCATCATCATCATCATTTTTATTATTTGCATGGCCTCTAATCCCTAATCAAAAACATTAACACCTACTTTTTTTTGGTGGTTGTCAGTACATGTTAAAAAAATATTAGTTAATGTACAAAACAGATTTTAGTAGCAGAATACCTTTTAAAGGATATTTACACCAAATAGTGATGAATACTGTTTGTGCCAAGTGTACAAAAGAAAGAAAGGGCATCTTGTTTATACTAAGTGCATATAGTAATAGATACTATTTACACAATGCATCAATTTAAACATTTAGCACTATGGGTAAATTGTGGGTAAATAATGGGTAAAATAATGGTGGGCAGAGTCAGTGCCATTTTTAATCTAATAAGGTACCCTCCCCTCTATTTTATAACATGCTTTCATTAATTTTTTGGCTGGTGCTACATAATCATATACAGAGGGATTGATGTACTATACTGATGAGTACCTTTCCACTAAGCGGACATACTGTACACTCACGCAGACATACAAACACACACAAGGTCTGACAGGTGGAAAGGTGATCGCTCCCTCATGGCCAGCAGCTTCAAATGTAAACTCAATTTTCCATTAACACCCTGTAATTGGTACATCATCAGTCCTTTCTCTGAGTGCTCAAACAACAGCAGCAGTGGTTATTGCATGTGCTCCGATGGGCAAGGTATGTTTGGGTCTGGCTTGCAATCGCTGCTTCAAAAATTCCTAGTTTCTCATCTTTTCAAAATAGCCAATAGGTTAAAAAAAACAAAACAAAGTTTCTCACTTCTTAAAGCTGGAAAACCTGAAAACTATGAATTAACAATGGGTGAGTTTAATGGCGTGTTTGGATGCTCCACACAGAGGTTATGAACTATGAAAGAGAGTAGTGTGTCTCATGAGAGTGCATTTGAGATGGTTTGTGTGTGTGGTTAAAAATAAAACCAAAGACTGTCAAAGGAGCCCTGTGACTGATCTTAATGGTAGTACAAAAAAGTCACATAAACAGAAACATTGCTGCCTACAAACTGCAGTCTAAATTAAAGATAAGCTAATAATCTGTCCTAACACTGCTTTCAAAATGTCTTCACTCTGCTACAGTTTTTCTATATCTGCTTGGCCACTTTCAGTTTACTTCTATTTTCTAAATAAATCTTGACCTTTTACGCCTTTCATTTTATTTCGACAACTTTTATTATTGCCAGTCCTCAAAATAACCTACCTGTTCAGAAGAGACTGAATGGATGAAGTTGTCTGTCTAACTGCTTGTGACAGTAGGTCAGCACAGCTGAGCAGTTTCATTAAATCCAAAGTTTCTGTATAAAAACGGCCTCTGCTTCTGCCATTTACACAACCAGAGAACGCAAACAACACCAGGCTGAAATCAACCCTTGAGAGCAGTCGTGATTTTATGCACATGAAAAGATTTAGTATAAAATCAAATCAAAATATAACTTTTTTGAATCCGTATATTCACTTTTTTTCTGGTGAAAATATATTTAAAAAATTGTTACAAAAGGATCAGTTCACTTGAGAAGCAAAACTGCATAAGACATTACCTTCAACTTTTCAGAGAAAAGTTCTGAGAATTTATTATGAATTAAACAAACTTTTTTCCGTATCCCACTGGTACGTTTTTTTTTCTCGCATAAATCTATCTAAATGTACTCCCATTTCTGCTTTAAAATTCTCTAATAAGCTCTGGTTTAACTTTAAACTTCATAAATAATTGCTTATAAAAGCAGATGTATACTTTTACCCATATCATTTTAATTGCCATACGTAACTTTAACCTCTTTAAGAAGTTTTAAATAAAATTAAAAAAAAATACCTCAAGTATGGCTTCTGGATACTGACCCAAGCAGACAGATGCTTATATTTAAATGAAATACAGAAACATATTAAACCATGCATGAATATTCATGAGAAAACAACC